GCGTAGGAGCGAAGGTTTCGTGGTAGTCGGATCCAGGACGCTGAGAGAAGCCTTGGGCCACCAAACGCGCCTTATACCGCTCAATCGAACCGTCCGCGTTCCGCTTCACCTTGAAAACCCATCTACTACCTATCGCTTTCGCTCCCCTTGGTAACTCGACCAGCTCAAACGTCCCATTCTCTACCAGAGACTGAATCTCACTCAAAGCCGCTTCCCACCACTTCTGCCTCTCCTTCGGCTCCTGCTTCATCGCCTCCTTGAACGATCTAGGCTCTCCATCGTGTGACGTCGTCTTCAGCGCATGGGCAAACTCGCAGGCCTGATCGAGAGTGAGATACTCCGTCCCCATAAAGTCCAATCCGGTCGAAACCAGCGCAGCAGAGTCGTAGGCATCGCTATCTTCATCCTCCGACTCCAAGATAGGATCCGGAGTCGCCGCCAAAGGATCAGGGCTATCGTCGCCTATAAGTGGCCTATCCACGCGAGGAGGCGTCTGGAATCGAGGAGTAGGAAGACGAAGAGGATCCGGAGATAGCGAGCGAGGTGGGACGGAAGGAGTGCGATGAGGAGGACGATCGTTGCGTTGCTGAATGGCGTTCTCATTGAGAGACTTGTCTGGACGCGTAGAACGGCCTGGATTGCGTCTAGGAGGAAGAGATGGTGATCGTTCTGGAGTGGGAGATGGAGAGGGAGATGAATAGGGCGAAGGGGTACGAGGATGTGGCGGTGGCGCGTGATGAGGGGGCTGAGGAGGAGCCAAGTCGACGCCCGGTGGAGCTGGGGGAGGTGGCGGATTAATAAACTCGCCAGAGGCGTCCAATTCTCCCTCCTGATCCGTCACCTCTACCACAGAAGGACCAGGAGTATCACTGGGAGATAAATCGTCGACCAGATTAATAGCAAGAGTGGAGTTACCAGGGAGGAAGCGTTCATCGAACACAGCATGAGAGCTAATGACGATCCTATGCTCAACCGGGTCCCAAAACTGCCACGCCTTCACCCCATTCCCATACCCAACGAAGATACACTTGCGAGTATGCGAAGTGAACGGCTTCCGCTTCTCCTTCCTAACGAGCACATAGGCGAGGCAACCGAAGACGCGGAAGTAGGAAACATCGGGTTTCTTCTTCTTCCAAGCGACGTAGGGAATGCCGCCATTGAGAGCAGAGGTAGGCGTGCGATTGGAGACATGGATATAGGCGGAGACAGCGAGATCCCAGAACGAAGGAGGGAGCTTGGCTTCGATAAGCATCGCTGTAGTAGCCAGAGCCATGTCGAGATTCGCGTTCTCCGATACACCGTTTTGATGGGGTTAGTTCAGCTCGGTATGCTGGCAAAGAATCCCTTCCTCTGCACAATACACATCCCAATCCTTCCCAATATACTCTCCTCCCTTATCGTCCCTCAACATCTTAATCTTCCTCCCTAGCGCCTTCTCTGCATACGCCTTGAACACTCTGAAAGCCCCAAAAGTCTCACTCTTCTTCCTCAAGAACTGAACCGCCTTGAAACGTCCAGCATTGTCGATAAACGTGACCCAGTAGCGATACCCGTTGCGGGTGGGAGGGAGGGGACCCTTGAGATCACTATGGATGAGATCGAGAGGATGAGAGCGACGAGTAGCGGTCTTTGGAACGTTATGACAACGTTGCTTCCCAGAGAGACAAGGCTTGCAGATAGGATCGGGCGTAGAGGAGGAAGAAATGGTAAGACCGTCAACGAGCTTGAGGGTATGCATGCGTTTAAAGGCGTCGTAGTTGGTATGAGAGAAACGGTGGTGCCAGAGAGAGAGATCGAGTGGCAAAGTAGAAGATAAACGAGCATGATGAACTCCGAAGGAGGAAGTACGCCCGTTGAGATAGCCAATGTTGCCGTCGACGATGGAGGCCACTGGGAAATCGCTTCGGTCTCCTTAGGGTCCATACAAATTTCCTGATGTCCGATAATCATCCCTAGGAACGGAATTTCCGGTTTGCAGAACTCGCACTTTGGTATTTCCCAGGATCTTCACATACTCTGCTGACTATCCCAAAAAGTGAGTTACATTCCTCTGCATTGCGGAGGAATTTAGAGTCATGATCGTGTCTATCAGAACACTTTTGGCACACCTATGTCCTATATGCAAGATCCATATTGACGATGTCGAAGATGTTGGTACTGTTATGGATGAACTTTGCAGGAAAGATAAACGGACTCTTGCCGATGTCGAACATGAGGCAAAGTTGGTAGAACAGGCAAGGAAAGATATCTTCAAGCATGGCTACTCGGTCACCGGAAAGAAGGTAACGGAGAAACTGTACAAGACATCCCGAATGCCAGTGTGTATATGTGTGTCATTCAAGATTTGCTCTTTGACCTAACTATGTAGAACACATTTGCGATATTTGCTAAGTATGGGTAAAATATGTTTGCAATGATCATGCCCAATATATTGCATGCACTCGAGCAGGGTGTATGGAGGGCTGTTGCCACTCATCTAATGAGGCTGGTTAAAATGCTCGAGAAACACTTTGGTCTGCAGTATGTCATCTAAACCCCTTTGTCAAATGCCATAAAACCTATTCCTGTGATGTAGGTATTGTGAAACACCCCTGTTCACCCATTGAATCAGAAGGTTTCGCAACAATGCCAGCGAGATGAAGAGCATGGCAGCTCGCGACTTTGGGGATATGCTGCAGGTATTTTTTGTCCCTTCTGTATACCTTCCATCTCGAAACACGCTCCTATCCAACACGCTCGTATTTTTGCTCACATCGACTCTGCCCGACTTGCCATGGTCAGCGCCATTCCCGTCTTTGAGGACATACTTCCAGAAGCTCTCAGTGATATCATGATGAACCTCCTTTTTGTGCTTGCCCTTTTCCACGGACTTGCCAAGCTTCGCCTCTCTACCCCCTTAACCAGAGCGGTCTTTCTGGGCTCAGATAAATTCAGGGACAAGTCAAGCACCAGATCCTCCGTTCCAAGCCACAACCATTGATCTGGGGTGTCTTCTTCGTGCTTTCAAGAGTGAAACAGATGGGTTGCGCACCAAAGAACTTGAGGTTGAGTATCAGAGGAGACTACAATGGCAGAATCGTGGCACCACTCACCAGGCCTGGGACGCTGCAGAGCCAAGAGATAAATATGCACAAGAGAATGGTGACAACTCTGACAAACCAGACGCAGGAAGGATGGGAATGCAAAGGATAATGGGAGAGGGACTGGGAGGGGGAACGAAAATGAGAACAAGATGAGAATGGGGATTGGAATGGAAACGGAAACGGAAATGGGGATGGGAACAGGGACGGGAACAGGGACGGGGATGGAGACAGAAACGAGGGTAAGAAGGTAAAGGCAAAGGGAAGGGCAGAGGGGAAGAGTGGGTTGACGAGCTCGAGGCAACAACGTTGGGAGGTCAGAGACCTCAAGGTTCACGATCATTATGGGCAAATAATCTTGTGCTATGGGACCCTGGACAACCATAATACGCAGTGGGTGAGTGATTACATACATACTTGAAGTAGTCCAGGGCTGGTATGTTCGTACAAACAGGAATTGGTTTACGGCATAAATTGTCAACTTCCACACACACAGAGAAAAGCTGAAAGTCATCAAGCGGAGAATTATGGTGGATGCTAGGTTATGGTTCGATTATTCTGTTTTCCCGCGGCACCAGCCGATGTTTGGTGCTCAGACTCTACTGAGTCTCGACTCTCCTCTGGGACCCTGGCCACCCCTCGGCCATCCTAGGGTGCCTGCTAGCTCCTGCCTTCAATGTATCTTCGTGTAGTCTGTTTCGGTTTGCAGTCCGTACAAGTTTTCCACATGAACCTATCTTATTTGTGCAAAGCACTTGGTGCTCACTTCCGATTCAATCGTCTTGCGGTTTGATGCTTCTCGTGAGGTTATCCTAGTCTGTGGTGTTACCTAGTCTACGTGGATATCTTCCCATGCCCATGTCTTTGCTCGTAGCGGCAGCACCATCTCGTCTCAAATAACTTCCATGTACTCTTCCCATATCTCATAGGTTTTCTTCTATCTACCACACTTGCAATCAATATCCTTGGTGCACCTTATTGCTTACTAGCGGTGATATTCACAGCAACAGCTCTGTGCTGCAATTTCTTATACATAAGGGCTCGGGTTTCAACTGCTGCTGTAAGGTGCATCTGTGTTTCCACTTGGCTCGCAGCCTTGGGTACAACCTTATTTGTTTTATGTTGAAGCATCTCCATAAAGTTCGCCAAACCTATGCTCCCCCCGACCATTACGTCTTTGATCTCGCCCCGCCGGAACTCAAAACTCAAGCTTGTCAGTTTATGGAAGAAATGGACTGGCCAGCCGTGAACGAGGATACAGTATGGATCGTATATAGCGAGCTCCTTGGGTATTTCTGTGCGATGGAGGATGAGGCATTAGAAGTGGCGGTGGCACTTTCAATGAGGGTGATTGAAGAGGATCTCCCAAAAGGTTTTACCCCTGAAGATGAGCAGTTTGTAGAGGTTGATCCCTATTTTAAGGCGACCTGAATGACTGACGGGGAGTCTTAGGGTTCAATGTTGGACACTGGTCCTGGCGATGGTATGCCTCATATTCCCGAGTCTATGGATGACTCAGAAGCAGCTAAAGGGCCCAGTAATGTTGCTAATAATGTTCCCAATTTCTCGTTCAATAATGATGATTATGATTCTAATATTTCCTTCAGTGATATTGAGTAGATTCCTTTATACTGTGCTCTTCTTTATTCACCTTACTCGCAGACTTTGCCTACTGGAATTTCCCGGTGACCATCGACTTGACCACCTCATGCTACCACTCCGGACTACAAAAACGGAGTGACTCTTTGAAGGATCACCAAAAATGGAAAGGTACTTCAATAGCATCACTAGTCTTGTTTATTTGTTCCTTGTTTGTCTCGCCACTAGGCCATTTTTTTGCCTGCTTGTCCTGAGTCGTCCCTGTTGCACAGTCACCTCCCGTATCAACACTTGTTCTATTCCCTGGCTGTCAACAAAGCTATGTCTGATTATATTGTTGACTTCACCCCGCTTGACAAAATAATCAAGGAGTGCGACCGCTGCCAGGGATGCTTCAGTTCGGATACTCCATTCAGGCTCTACCACAACGAGGGAGGCAACACTCACAACTGCTATCCCAAGTGTACAGATTATTACGAGAGTAAGAAGACCACCAGGTCCGCCGCTATCACAGCAAGTACATTATCTCTTTTAACCAGGCCTAAGCTTCCTATTCTGATGCCGGCAAACCTACCTTTAAAGCCCACATTGAGTTCACAGCCCTAGGACCCTCTGACACTACTTTGAAGAAAGCTACATCTGCTTCAAAACGTGGAGGTGTGTATGTTATTATTTGATGTATCTTTTATGTCTCATTATTACTTTACCTTAAGAGGCTACCCTTCCCACTCGCGCCATGCCTGGGTCCTCTCGGGCCACCGCCACACCAGCGGTTCAAGTCAATATATCGGTAGTCTGTGGAGGAAGGACCTTAGAGCGATCTATCAGTGGTGGGCAAGGCGGCATACATCCTGATGTCAAGGATCATCCAGATTCATGGACTTTGACCCATACCCTGTATCTTTTTCCTCCTGGTCAGTACAGGTCTCTGCTTATATTTATGGCCTCGGTGTTAACATGCTGTCATACAGGAACCGACCTGGGCCCTTTCTTCCTCATACATCCCGGCCTGTACATCAAGCCATGCGGCATCTTCATTAAGTGGACTGCGTTCAAAGGAGGCCACCCACATTCTGGTAGTGCGCTAACCGTCTACAATCTTGAGTTGTTCCATTGCTGGCAGGACACATTTACTGTTGAGGCTTGAAAGTATGGTTATATAAACCATATTAACTTCATCTCTTATCCAGCCACAATGCCCATGACCCATGAATCTCATCAATCAATATCTCCTGCTCTTGGGTTCGGGAATGATAATATATTTATGAACCAGTATGCCACCGACACCAACTTTGCTGCTCACAGCTACCCGCATCTCTCTGACTGGATGAACCATATTGCCCGTGAATCAACATTCGAGGCATATGAATAATGATCGTGCTGCACATTCTTCACTTTCCTATGTCCTTTTTCACCCAGACAAGATGATGTCAGGTGTTTCCTGGTTGGATGAGTATGGATCTGAGAGGTATCCGGAACCTGTGCCATTCATTCCTCATATCCATTGTTCCTTTGTCTCAGCTATGCCCGATGGGAACGCCACCACAAGATCAGTGAGGCCTACCATATTCGAATCACCTCTACGCAGTGGAAGTATAGGCCAGCTAACCACTTCGGATTTTTTTTGGACATTTATTTTTTGATGCATAGAGCTTACTCCTAATGATGATTGGTCCACAAACCTCTCAATTATATTCAGAAATCCAAATACGCTGCAGCATTGGCCATTTACAGCCAAAAACCGATGTTTTGCATTTTTACTGTATCACACAGACCAGGTATGACATAGTGGATCACCTAGAAACATTCAATATGATGTATACTAGCCCTGTACCACACCGCACCATGATCACACTGTATTTGAGAGAGATCTGGTCCATATAAACCCCCAATACTACATGTGCACTTGCTCCCCCATCAAAAACATGGTTTTGCTTTTTCCACTATCCACCAGCGCGGTTCTGGTGCTTTCATACTTTTTATATACATTTAAACCAAATTACCACAACAAGAACGGTACCAAAAACGCGGATATTGGTGTTTCAGTGATTATACTGTGGCCCAATATACTGTTTTACCCCCTCAGTGCCCCACAATTAGTGCAGGACAATTTTGACTAATGCTGTACCATAGATTGACTTCCCAAACATCAAACTGTATTTTCCAATCATCACTTCAACACCACAAGACATTCTAACCATGGCAATATACCCGGGGTAGATGTTCTCCTCCTCCTCCCCTAGACATGGCACCAGTATCAAGGCCACGATCATTGTTTTTGTGCCCGGTGTGCTCCCCATCACTTAGTATTGATATAGGACTACCAATGACAGCAAAAAACAAGGTAATTGAACCACTATATCCCCAGTTCTGGCCTGCCCACCCTCTTTCACCGTAATAGGGTAATATCTTGCTGACCGTTTATGCTATAACTTTGGAACGGATGGACCGATTCCTTCAAAAATCGCTTTTCATCATTTTGTGCTTTTATCAATGTTTGTCAAATAGTCAGAACCCCCAAAATCGACCTCCTTCATGTTGCCAAAATCGGGCCACAATTCACGTTTTATACGTCAATTCCATCGAAATGACACCCAGCAATGTGATCCGTTCGTCCTAATTCACAAAACTCATAAAGTTACCAAGATACCCCCAGATCACCTCATTTCCCCTACCGATCTACCCCCAGGTATCCAGTACCCCCACCCTAGCATCCCTACTATTATTCTACCATTTTTCCGTATTTTTATCAGCCACTGTTCTATCCCTATTCACCCTACGATCATCCCTGCCTATATTCCCCATTTTATCCATATATAACCCAGCCCGTTTTACCATATACACCCTACCTACCCGCCCTAACCATTCCCCAGCACCCCTACCCTATCCCCTACCCCCTACCCTACCCCCAGGACCACCCCTATACGCCCTACCCCATCACCCTGGGCCACCCAGCTACCCAGAACCACCCCTCGGCCGCCCTAATAGCCAGCCCAATACTGGCATTTATAATTCTTGGGCCAGAGGAACCTTTGTAAAGAACCCCCTTCTTACTAGCAGGTACATTTATAATGGCTATGCGTCTCAAAGAAGGGCTGATGAACCTTCAGCTCAAGTCTCCGATAATGCGGTAGGCAGCGAGGTACACAGATTGTTACAAGAAACCTACGACATGCACCTGTTGGACTATCGTGTGTGGCAAGCTCTACGCCACCGGCTCGGTTCTAACTGTACAGTAGACCGGCAATCTCCGCTTGTGTCTTTTATTCATATTATTCCTATATTTACTGCTCTTCGCCCGTTTGGCCCCTCTGCACCGTATCCATGGGCTACATGTATACTAACAGCACCTGCATTCTTCCATCGTCCTGCCTTCTTCTACCATCTCCCATCCTACCTCAACCTCTTCTACGTTTCCCCCCGACACCGGGAACACATCAGTTCAAGGAGCCACGGATGCTTCGATCTTGAGCGGCGAAACCTTCGACGAACAAACCCGCACCGCATCAGCAGCCCAAGAAATGCTCAAAACAAAGGACGCGAGCTGCAAAAGCCAAGAAGAGCGTGGAGGATGATGAACCGGTGTCGAGGTCAGACAGGCGAGGAGCGACGAAGGACAAATCAAAATCGAACTACGAGGAGGAGCGGTTGGAACAGGAGAGGGTGAAGGAACTGAGCAGGCTCCTGGAGAAGGGCCCAGATACATGTTCATTCGACGCAGATGTCGCTGGATGGTCTTTCAAGGAGCAGGGGAAGCTGCTGCAATGTGAGAAGGAGGACGACGATGCGAGGGAGGAAGAAGAAGGCAGAGGAAGAGGAGGAGAAGCGGAAGCAGGAGATGAGGACATGGGTACGGACGATGACGACGACGACGACTACGTTGGGAGCTCGTCCAGCCAGGAGGAGGAGGAGAAGGAGGACACATCTGAAGGGTTATCAGACAGGCGTACATGTAGAAACATTACAATGTGAGCGAAGAGCTCCGTTCACTGACATTGTAATGTGAGCCCGAACTCCTAGCTGCTTCTTGTGCACTGTTTTCATGGAGTCACATTATAATGTGGCTTCCATGCTTCTATTGCATACCGTCCACTTTTAGATCACTGCTTTATTAATTATTGATACGACCTTGATTCCCTTGCCCTATTTTAGGGTCTTACCCTCATTGGGATGTGGCACTGGCTACTGCTAGAATTCTCCCTGCCCCCTGCCCCTGCCCCTGCCCTGCTTCCTTCCTGTTATACTTCACTCTGAACATACTACTTGATCCTAATGAGCTATATAAGCCTACATAAAACACCATTTGAATGTATTACTCCACAAAAGCCCTACCTACATTTCGAAAATTTGGGTCTTTTGTGTGGCACAAATGTGGCCCAAATCTTGTACCATACTCCTGCTCTTGCTCATGCTCTTGTACTTAAATACTTTGTATTATGTCTGTTCTAGTATACTAATATGACATAGGTATGTGTTTATAACTATTGCTATATAGACTGCCCCTCAGAAGCTCTGAACAAATTTCGCTTTTGTGTGGCCCAGGTGTGGCCCAGACCTTTTCTACTCCTGAACATTTTGTACATCAATAAATATCATCATATATACTTCTAGTATTCTAAATTAGTCTTTATTGCATCCTTGAAGACCTGTATTGGTTCTGTT